TGCGAAGAAAACTTCCGGTGTCGTTTGTAATCTCATGTAAGTGTTTTGTTCAGGGAGCGTGCCGTTGTTGCTCGTTGCATCCGACTTTTCATCGCCTTGTAGACTGGACAGCCTCTGTAGTTAGCTGTGTGGTTTCCTTGGCAGTTTACACACTTTTTAGTGAGAGAGTCTTCCTTGTTGGCAGGGCAGGGTTCGGAGCCGTGGCAGTTTCCACAAGCTACACATACTGACCTGAGGGTGCAGTAAGCCCTGGTATGACCGTATTCCTGGCAGTTTGTGCATTGCACTGGTCCGGTCCGTTTGTGCGGCTCTTCCACTGTGATCCTACGGTGCAGAAGGTACTGCAACTTGTAGATCGGGTGCACTGCGTTTTTTTTCAAAGTTCTGCTGTCTGGCTCCAGCTCGACCTTGAAGAGTGGTTGCGGCTTCTTGTTTTTGTTCATAATGTTTATAACATTTTTTGCGCAAAAACTGTTTTCTTTTAAGGCCTCTGTAATTTCGCAGGGGGTCACATCGGGTTCTATTCCCTTAAGCACAACTTGCAAACCTTTGCAACTTTTCAGCTGGTACGTGTAGTAATTATTTTTGGCATCGTTTAAGTACTTCGACACTGCTCGGAAATCGTCTTCGGTTTTGGTTTGGAGTTTAGTTTCGCTTATATTCCCTTTCATAAGCGGAATAACATGAAAGTTATCTTTTCCGACAAGCTCAACTATTTTGTTGACTAGGGCATTCGAGATCTTCTCCCGAATAAAAATAGGTGGGGGCTTTAGTTTCCTTGGGGCTAATTGTTCAGACTCTGTTTCAGGCTCCGCCAGAATGGAAAATCTGTTTTCATCTAATGGCCCGGGATTTACAGGGCCTTTGCTGGAACGATTTATTTTGGGCTTATTGCCGTCCGAGTTTTTTGGGGGTGTTAGCTTGCGCTTGGAGATATTAATGTAGCGATCCATGCCTGTCTGAATGGCCGAACCCGCTTGCAGAATTGTCACTTCTTCTACCGTAGCTTTGTTTTTGCTGTTTGCACCGATTTTTGCACTTGGTTGTGTTGTTGCTTTACCCGCACAAGAAGAGGGTGGAGTCGTTATTGCATTGTTGGCGACAGAGACCGTTGTAGTAGTCGTAGTAGTTTCTGTTGTTGTTGCGCTAGGCGGCAGAAGCTCTGTTGGAGTCTTGCATTGCTCACTCCATGGCGTTCGAGCGGTGAAGAGCAGGGCGGGAGAGCAAGAGTTAGCTCTCTGGTTTTCGGCGGTCAGTAAACTTGCACCTTCAAGCACTTTCGGTTCTAGAGTGTTACTCGTCACCGTAAAATAGGCGTTGTTACGGGCCAAAGAGAGACGACGTTTGTCTTGTTCTCTCTGAATTTTTTCACGGGTTTCGTCTTGTTGTTTTTGTCGTTGAGTGCGCTGATCCACGTTCTTACTCATTTGTTTATAGTTAGTGCGTAAAGATTAATTATTTAATTAATTAAAACTTTAGTTTACGATATGCGATTTGCATCGCGAAACGCAAAACCTCGCGCTTATTTTTTTTTTTCGAACGTTTTCGACTGATTGGCTAATTGTTTTTCCGGAGCGTTAATAAAACACGTCTGCACGCAGCCGAATTGATTTTGTTTTTTGATAATCAAGCTAATATTGAAGAAACCAATATTTTGTATCCTGAGGACAGGCCAAATTCAAAGGTTGGGAAAGTGACATATCCACAGTACCAAATGGCTATGTATATGCTTACTTTACCATATTATGAACACATACACACATAGCATGTATACGTTAAGTCTTTTGAGTCAGCCTTTAGGCACACTTGCAACGAAAGCCTCTAAGGCTAAGCGGAAAGCAGCATGCTACACAAAACCCTCTTCCAATTGTCACGATCCCACGTTCTAAGACAATCGAATTTTGGCTCCCAGACACATAAAAATCCAATTTCATAAACAAGAAAGGAAAGCTAACTTCGGGCGGAGCCGAAGTTGATATACCCTTGCAGAATACTCTGTAAATTATATTCTCCAAAATTATTCATATGATGCATTCTTAATACACATTAAAAATCCCAACTTCCTAACTTAAAAAACACCAAAGTTATGGCATTTCCAATCGTTCAGTTATATGGCAGCTATAGGATATAGTCGGCCGATCCTTATGAAATTTGTTAGGTCGGATTTATTGGCCAAAAATAAAACCCATAGGAAATCCCAACTTCCTAACTTAACAAACACCAAAGTTATGACATTTCCGATCAATCAGTTATATGGCAGCTAAAGGATATAGTCGGCCGATCCCGGCCGTTCCGACATATATACTGCGTGCAAAGGAAAGAAGGGTGTGTGCAAAATTTCAATATATTTAAAATTGAGAGACTAGTTTGCGTAGAAACAGACAGACGGACAGACAGACGGACAGTCGGACATGGCTATATCAACTCAGGAGGTGATCCTGATCAAGAATATATATACTTTATAGGGTCGGAGATGTCTCCTTCACTGCGTTGCACACTTTTGACCAAAATTATAATACCCTCTGCTAGGGTATAATAAAGTAGTAAGTAAAAAAATCACTTATATCCAAGAGCAAACGCACTTGAATCCAAGAGTACTTAAATTCGACTCAATAGAAACTGAAAGTTCTCTCAGAATATTTTTAGGGTTCACTCAATCCTTTCTTTTCAGATAAGTCAGATCCATAAATTAATTACAGTTTGAGACCTCATAATAATAGGTCGGTGTGCTTTACTCTAAAAAACACAAAATTTGTAGAGAATAAAGTTAAAATAAATAAAATCAATTTTTTAAACAAAAGCCTTATGCAATCGTAAAATTAATAAGAAAGGAAAGCTAACTTCGGGCGGAGCCTAAGTTGATATACCCTTGCAGAATACTCTGTAAGTTAAGGCATTTTCAATCGTTCAGTTATATGGCAGCTATAGGATATAGTCGGCCGATCCTTAAGAAATTTGGTAGGTCGAATTGATTGGCCAAATATAAAACCCATACAAAATCCTTTTCCGATCAATCAGTTATATGGCGGCTATAGGATATATCCCGGCCGTCCCGACTTACACACTGCGTGCAAAGGAACGAAGGGTGTGTGCAAAGTTTGAATTCGATATCTTTACAACTGAGAGACTAGTTTGCGTAGAAACAGACAGACGGACAGACGGACAGACGGACAGACAGACAGACGGACATGCTTATATCAACTCAGGACGCGATCCTGATCAAGAATATATATACTTTATAGGGTCGCAGATGTCTCCTTTACTGCGTTGCACACCTTTCACCAAAATTATAATACACTCTCCAAGGGTATAACAATGTTAGTTTTTTAATGATAATTTTAATAATAATTTTTGGTCTATTAGAAACTATTTTGAGAAGTTTGTCTAACGCCTTGTCGTACGCATTGACACTGGGGCAATGAGCACTCACCCAAAAATAGACTGGTGTCCGACCAAAAAGCCACAGAGGTTGGATTTAGCACCAGCAGTACTGACGTTAGAAATTTGGCAGTCTATATGTGCGCTCTCATATATCCTGAGTCGATCAGGGCGCGGGCTCGGAAATTGGAGCCGAGATTGCTTGTATTTATAATGGCGGTAACTAGCAAGACCACTAGTGAGCCTGACGCCAAACAGACTCGAACTCCCGACTGCTTGTTTCGAATATAGGTCGGAACTTCCGCTTTATTTCTTAAAATTTTTCCGGAGGGTCATCTCACAAGCAATTTAAATCCGTTGTAACGATTTTTGACATTTGAAAGGCGGTCAAACAGACGTGAATTATAGTCTGCTATTACTTTAAAGCATTCCCGAATTTCTCTAAGACAAATTGACCGTTGAATAGAATTTAAATAGAAATATAAACCCCGAAGAGAGCGCACGTGCTTGGTCCGTGAAAAGTTGAAATAAAAATAGAATTCAAAAAACTAAATTAGTTTATTACACAATAGAGCGAAAAGACGCAAAACAAAAAAATCAGTGGTATGATTAAATCAAGTGCAAACTATTTTATTATAGTTGCACGCTAAAAGTTTAATGACCGACAAACCAAATAAAGAGCGCAAAACCTCGGTTAGCCGAAGAGATAGGTACTTCTCGTATATCTCTACGTCTACAAAGAGCCACAGGGCTCTACTGTCAGACCCAGATACCCAAATATCACGGTCGTTGTCACCCTCTCTACTCACTGGTACTCCCACTCCAACGGCGTAGAGTTCTCAATGTAAAACCCCCCCACCATCAGTAACGACCCTTGGCGCATCAGCAACATGCAGCGGTAAAACTTCGGCAATCGCACCAAAAGTAACAGCAGCAACTAAAGCAATGGCAGCAAAACTAACAACTTCTACAGCAACGGCAATTACCGAAGAATCGACTGCGATATCGTCGACTGCAGCGCCAAATATACGGTCACCTAAAACTATGATAAAGCAAAACTAAGAAAGTATTCAACAAGCGGGCCCGGTCATACAGACCGGCATGGATCGTTATATCCAAATTAAGCGTAAGCTTAGCCTGCAGAACACCGCGGTGGGTAATAAGTCAAAAATAAATCGTGTCCAAGAGACGGGAGATCCGATAACAACAGATTTGCCCTCCTGGCTGAAACTCAACCAGAACTGGTTAACGAGCAGCTAACAACATCTACGTTCGCTGACGACCCTGCAATCCTTAGTCACTCGAAGAGCCCACGCCAAGCAACAGCACAACTAGCCAATCACCTCATCGTAGTTGAGAGGTGGCTATCTGATTGGCGTATTAAAATAAATGAACAAAAATGTAAGCACATAACTTTTACTCATAACAGGTGTGACGGTTTGTCGTTTTGTCGGATGGCTCAGGGATGGCCAGGGTTCGTCACAAGAATTTTTTTGTGTCAGGCGTGGTTGCTGAAAGAGAGTTCCGTTTTATTTCAGTAAGAATCTTGACATTTGATTAATAACTAACGAGTTCTCCGTATTGGCGGGGTGCCACCCTTGCTGCCTTCGCTTCCTTCGTACACTTCGAGTGCCTGGTATCGGGAGCCGTCTAGCTGCTCGAGAGGAACAGCACGGGATCTCGGCTGCGGGAGAATAGACCCCGGGGTGGGTTGCCACGTAGCGAGCCTGAAATGAGCGAGCTTTTCCTTGATACTGTCTCTTGCCGTTTTTGATATTACCGCTCCTTCTGGTAGTGTCCATCCTTCGTCGTTGTGCTCCTCCTCATGGAGCTCTAGTATATCCCGGTCCGTTGTCTCGGCTGCTCGGCTATCCTGGGCGATTCTGGCTACAGCACTTATGGTTTGGTTACTGGTTGTTTGCGGTGCCGGAGTCTTCATGTTGCCCCTCCTCTTCGCCGGTGTCGTCCGCTTTCGTGCGTATTTGTATTGTATTGTATTTGTTCCTCCGTACGGCTTAGTGTCTCCAATGTATATCCTCTTTGTTTTAAAAGTGTTCGGGTTTTTTACTGCCACTTTCGTCCGCGTCTTCCTTGAGTTTTTCTGCTGTGATCCCTTGTGCTTCTCCTTGATCCAGTTGTCCGTAACCTCTATTGCTTTCAACTCGTCCTGTGCTGCTCTGGGTAAGGCGTCTGCTACCTCATTTTATTTTCCCTTTCCATACTGGACTACGCCTAAGTCCCTGGTATTCGTTTTTGTGTCCGGTTGGTCTACTTTGTCTCCGGCTGCTCTTATCTCTAGCTCCAAGCCTCCACACCTCAGCGTGCTGCGTGCCCCGGCTAGAAAGTCCATTCCTAACAGTATTCCTCCTGTCACTTCTGTTAGTATCATGAATGTTACCCTGAACGCTCTTCCTCCAAATTTGATTTCTGCCGCGAATTCTCCTATCGCCTTCTGCGTTGCTCCGTTGGCGATTGTTATTTCTGCTCGGGTTCCACACCATTTGCCTTGTTGCTTCAGATCTTGATATCTGCTTCTGCTTATCGCGCTTCTTGATGCTCCTGTGTCCACGGTTCCTTTCGCTGTCTTGTTTCCGACCCTTATCCGGGCTACTATTTGGAACCCGTCGCAACACAGCTTTTCCCCTGCTGCTGGCTCCTTTATTGCCGCCTGAGCAGCCAGCCTTAACTGCTCAGGTCTCCTGCAGCACTCCTTGGTTCTCGTACCTTTTCTTATACAGATCCAGCAAAACAGCCTCGGCGGATGTCAGGTTCCTCCGCAGCGCATGCATATCTCCGGTCCTAGTTGCTGCTGTGCAGGTCGGCTTGCCTGTGTCCGGTCCTCTGCCTCTATTTCTTCTACTTCCTCCGCTAGTTTGAGGAACTCTGTCAACGAGTTGAATCCTGCCCTCCTAGTGTACAACTTTATCTTGCTCCTGCTGTTTTTGTATACACGGTCCAGTTTGGCCTCTTCTGAGAGTTTCGTGAATTGCATCAGTTTTCTTAGTCCCATTGCGTATTCTCTTACGGGCTCCGTTTCTCACTGTTTCATCTGTGCAATCTGATTCTCCAACTGTTCCTCATACCTCGGCGGCAGAAAGTATTCCAGCAGTTCTGTTCTGAGCTGAGTCCATGTTACGATCCTGCTCGGCGTGGTGTTCCACCAATTTGCTTAGGAACTCCAGTGGGCTTGTTGTTCCTTGGTACCGGATGCCCCATCCACGTACCCGGTCTATGACTTCTGTTTCCATTTTTATCTCTAACTTTCCTTCCGTTTCGTCCCCTAGACTTGCTCCTTTGATGTCCATTATCCCCTCCTTTTCCCTGGTTACCACGATCGCCGGACTTGTTTCTTTCGCCGTGCTTTTTTCTCTCTTATATTTTTCTGTCAGTTCTGCGAGTCTTTATCTGACAGATTCTGTATGATCCGTTTTTTTTGCGAACGCTGCCAACAAGCGTCTTAAATCCTAACTTCTTTCTGCCGTTCCTAATCCGAACTCTTCCGTGTATTTCGTTAGTTCGCTCTTTGGTGCCAGATATACCCAGCTCGACATTACTCCGCTGGTGTCGGCTTATCTCCTGCAACCACTTTAACCTTTGTCGGGTGACTCAGGGATGGCCAGGGTTCGTCACAAGAATTTGTTTGTGTCAGACGTGGTTGCTGAAAGAGAGTTCCGACCCAGCCCAGAGTAGAAGTCGTGGGGAATTACTTAGTAATTGATTATAACTAGGTTTTATTTCAGTAAGAATCTTGACATTTGATTAATAACTAACGAGTTCTCCGGATAGGAGGGGTGCCGCCAAAAAAAAAAAAAAAATCTGGATTGGTGAAAAAATTCTATTTTATCAGCACAATTATCCCAAGCACACATCGAAAACTGTGCCGACATGGCTCTTTGAAATTACCCGCTTAGTATGAAACGACCAGCCTAGTCTCCAGATAATAATGATGTTGAAAATTTGTTTGGTATATTGGACAGAAAAGCTCGAAAGCGTAAAATAATCAATAAGACGGATCAAAAAAACGCATTACTCGAAGAATATGCCAAAATTAGTCTCCAAGTGACTCAAAAATTGGTCGACTCAATTCCAAAAATACTTAAAATGATTGTTTACCAGGAGGCTGTTCATACAAAATATTAATTTATCATTTTTAGTTCATCATCTTAAAAATAGATATAATTTTAAGGGCTGTCTGAAATAAGCTGTGACATTCATTTTACTTGTTATTTTAGTCTTAAAACCAATATAAAGTTAAAAAAAATATATCAAAATATATAAGTGTAATAAGTCTGCGTTTAAAATGTTTTATTATCTTTCTTAATTTGGCAAATACAGCGCTTAAAAGTTTTACTTGAGCACTCTTTAAAATAAGCTGTGAGCCACATGGAGCCAAAAGTTTTATAAGATACTTGTTAGTATAAAGTCCATCTTAAAGTTTTTATACAAATATCCCAGTAGACCATTAAGGGATGCATTATTGACCAAAATTCCTTTTTGGAAGGGAACCATAAGCTTTGCCAATAATATCCAGCGCATAATTTCAGTCATTTTAGTCAAAACGACTCGTTGAACTTCTGTTTACCATATGTCTTTTTCATTTCGATAGAGTTGGATATTAAAAATTTAGAGTTGAAAAGGTTAAACCAATCAATAAACAATTTTAAAAGATTCGCGGTTTCTCATGCGTTTTCTACTTCATACACCAACTCGAAGCATCACCCAATGGAATTGTTGCTGTTGCGTTGGAAAACAATTGAGTTGCCATTTTACCTTTTGTTTACCGAGCAAGCCAACATTGTGATTTTCGGTAATTTTAAACAATATAGACACATCAGACTTAACGCAGTGGCTAATTGCCTGTCGAACTGTCGTCTTGGTGAATTTTTTTTCGGACGTTGATGCACTATGATCAGCGCAAATAAGTGGCCCTTACGACACCTAGCAGTGCTTGTTACGCGCGGATCCCTATTCCCAAATGGGCATAAACAACGAGATCGCGAGATGTGAAAAAGGAAACGGATAGACTAAATTAGAATGCATACGAAACAAAACATTAATACTAATATTTATTTTTAATAATTGCTTTTAAGATTGGGAAAGAGTCAGTAGTAGAAATAGTATAGTATAGTCTATTATAGTCATTAAATATTCTAAAAGGTTCATGCATATAATAGTTTAATCTACAATGATTTAAAGAAAGATGAATAAAGTTCCTGGTAATTCTATTAGGCACAGAGAAGTTTAGGCGACCCAGTAACTCGGGTTTCAAATTGTTAGCGTGATCGACAAAAGCAAAGTGAGCTGCGATTCCACGTTAACATTAAATTTAGATTCATTTTACAGAATGTTATGCGTGGTGCTGTGTTGGTAAACATTTAAATGCAGCCGTGTTTTGCTACATGTTTTTAGTTACGTTTAAATTCAAATTCAAGACTTATCGGACGCCTATGAATCGGACGCCTTAAAATACCCTTTAAAGTTTTCAATTCGGAGACGCGCACGACTGTGTCTCGTCCAGTGATGACATTGGTCGCCCTTGCAAGGAGCCATTGTTGTGGAGGCAAGTTGTCCTCTTGAACAACGGGAAGCTAGCCAACCTCCTAGGTGGGCTGCCTCGTTGTCCACTGTATGCCTAAGGTACAAACATTTTTGCTTGAGGTAAGCAACACTTTGCCAACGATCGAGGTAGCGCTTTCTTTTCGGATCTCTTTGCAAGGAGCCATTGTTGTGGAGGCATGTTTTACTTTGGTACAACGACAAACTAGCCAACCTCCAAGTTTGGCTGCCTTATTGTCCACTGTGTCCCTATTCCAGAATTGTTGTTTGAGGTAAGCAACTCTTTGCCAACGATCGAGGTAGCGCTTTCCTTTCGGATATATAGCGTTGAAGAGTCCTCGTGAGGTAGCTGGAGTAATGGCCTCGTCGTCATTCAGGTCATCAAATGCGGGAGCTATTGCCCTTGAGTTTAGAATGACTACAGTTTGAATGTGAGCAATAATTTTCCAAAATATCTTTTCCATTTCGCGCGCAGAAATGTGTCTGACGTCCTCTACTTTAAAGTGTTTATTTTCTGAACGTTGTTAATAGCTCGGTAGACATAAGCGAGAATCCGAACAGTTCTTGTATATAATAATCTGTTGCCGATTATGGACACTGCAACAGAGCCTTCGGTACTGGCGCATCGCAGTACAACTCGATTCCATGTTTCCATTGGTTCTCTCAAGAACGCTGGTCCAGGTTACCACATATGATATGACATATATGACATATCTGCCGTGTTTTTTGCTGAAGATTTCGTCGTTGTTCTCTTGTAGCTCGGAAATTCGATTAGCTACAAAACATTGTAATTGTGAGGAATGCATTGTCATCCAACGAAGGACCATAGTTGAATCCGTCCAAAATAAGATAATGTTTTAGTAAACCTGCAATTTTTCGCCACGTTGTACTTAATAGCAACTCAGCGCTTAGTTCCAGCTTGGGCAATGAGTGTGTGTGGAGTGGTGCCACCATAGATTTGGCCATCAGAAGATTGATCCCAATTTTCTTTTTTTCTGGACACGAATGTATAAGCAGCAACCGTACGTCCGCTCGGACGCATCCGCAAAGCCGTGGACGTCACGCGTTCCATCCATCGCTGACCATCGGGGATTTCGGGCAGAGTTCGGGCGAGTTGTCGTTAGTTCATGTATTAACCCCCTGGTAGATGTGAGATCTTGAAGAAACATTTTCCCAGTTATTATAATAGGACTTATAATCCCTAATATGTCGAAATTCGAGCAATTTTGGTGATCTGGTGCTTTATTTCCTTGAATTCGATTAAGATATCCGCGCCAGTTAATACATCGTTAACATACAAATCGCTTTGCGGCACCGCCGCACCGATTGGGCAGTCCTTTCCATTGATTTCTGCGCTGTAACGCAAGGCTCGTACGGCTAAGA